GGAACCCTCACTTCAGAGTCAGTGTTCTTTTCACTAAACCATGCTACCCCCCTAATCTAAGGAGAGTCCCTGATTAGGCTTCTGAGAACTGTCACACAATTTCACCTTCTGCTTTGTACTAGAATTTTTCTTATTCTTTCTCTGCCATGCCTAACCTCTCTTATAAAAGTGCTCTGGGTAGATAAGGACCATGTCCTATTCAGTCTCATAGTGCCACACAACATCTACCATTGAGTCCTGTACATAGTAGGCAGTTAATGACTGTTAAAATTTAATATTTCTAAATCAGCACCACTTCTTCAGTGCTCCCCTCAAACCCCGTAACAATGGATCACAAACACATATCCCAATCTCATTGTGTCTAGGTTAGGATTGGTGGCCACGTCTAAATCTTGACCACTAAACTTAGCAGAGTCGGCTTAGATGGCAGCAACACATAAGCATTTGAATATAAACTTGAGTACAAAGGGGCATTTTAGACAGTATATAAAAATTCTTCCATCTTCTATGTTTAAGAAATATCATCTTTTTATTATACTATGTTATGGAAATGCTTGTTTTATTCCATAAATTAAAAATAAAATAAATAAAAATTAAAAAATAAAGAAAGATATATCCCCTGGGTTGAAGGAGAGAATCAAGTTTATTCATTCTATTACTGCATTTAGAATAATAGATGCTGGGGTAGGAATCCAAGCTTTACCTTTGTCTACCTCTGTATCATTAGGCAAAGCGTTTTCCTTCAGTGGGCCTCCCTTTTCCTCTTTTTTTTTTTCAAATGAAGGAATTGGAGATGATCTCTAAGGTGCTTCCCCACTCTAACATTCTGAGGTTTCACGAGAAGTGACATCTTGTGTGGCTCTGTGTGCCTAATTAGTCTTTGCCTTAGTTTCACCAAGGACAAGTTTGCACACTGCCAAGAATGTGACAAAAAGAGTCTCCCCCTCAGTCCATTCATGACATGTTTGTAAAAAAATAACAGCGAAGGAAAGAAAGGCAGAGAGAAAGGTGAGAGAAAGAGAGAGGGCGATGTGGCTGCCAACTCTGGCAAACATCTTTTCTCTAAATCCACTGGGGATAAAAGTTTTCTGGAGCAACCTGGACAATCCTTTCCTGTTCCACAAAGCCCTATAGATCAGGGGCCTTCAGGATTATTTATAACACAGGTTTTGGTTGCTCTTTATGAATAGTAAAGCATTTTCTTCTAGGTTCCCAGGTTCATGAACAATGTTATATGGGACCCTTTGCCTTTCCTCACTCCACATATCTGATCAATTGCTAAATCTCACCATTTTTACCTCTATAGCATCTCTCACATCCAGTCCCTTCTCTGTATTCACACAGCCGCCACCCCAATTTCAGACTCTCATCACCTTTCACCTCAATTATTGTAAAAGCGTCCTACCTGGTCTCCTTGCCTCAAGCCTTTCATCACTCCAGTAGATCCTCCATATAGCTGCCAAGAATTATTTTCCTTAGGTGCAGATCTGACCATGTCTCTTTCCTACTCAAACTCCAGTGGCTTCCTGTTGCCTCAAGGATAAAATACAAATTCTTCCGTTTAGATTTTTAAAGCCTTTCACAGTCTGGTCCTACCTACCTTTATAATCCTATTTTGTAGTGCTCCTTTCTCCATACTTTATGGTGCAGCCAAACTGGCTTTCCTCTTGTTCCTCACACATAGCACTGCATCTCTCATATCTGTACCTTTGCACCGACCATCTCCTAGGCCTGGAATGTACTCCTTCTTCACCTCCATCTTAAAGAATCCCTCTCTTCTTTCAAGACTCAGACATCATGGTACATGAAGCCTTTCCCAATTCCTTAACTGCTAGCACTCTCTCCCTCTAACATTTTGTATTTGTTCTCTCTCTCTCTCTCTCTCTCTCTCTCTCTCTCTCTCTCTCCATATATATATGTGTGTGTGTGTGTGTGTGTGTGTGTGTACATATATATACACATATACATATATATGTATATATATTTATATGTATATATATTTGTCTCCCTCATCAGAATGTAAGCTCCTTGGAAAGAGTGATTATTTCTTTCTTTGTATTTTAATCCCCAGTACACAGCACAGTGACTGGAACAAAGGAAGTGACTAATTAATGTTGTTTGATTATCTGATCGAACATGGTGCTTTGAAGAAAGTACAGTATCTTAGGGAATAAAAAATGGAATGGTAGTAAGTCATAGAATATTAGGGGAGGACTAGCTATTACAGCATAAAATGTCTGAGCTGACAGGGACCTGAAAGTACAGGACACAGAATGAAATGATGGATGGGACTTTAGAACAAAGAAAGGGAGACTTGGAAAGCACCTTAGAACATTGAACTTAGGGTATTCAAACTACCCGAGGCCTTCTACCTTAACTAGTCCAAAAGCCTCATTTTATGGATTCAAGTCATTTGCCCAAAGTCCCACACTGAATTCATGGAAGAGCTGGAACTAGAACCTGAGACCCTTAACCCTTGCAAAAATTGTGTTTTAGAAAGAAAGCCCTGGCATAGTAGTGGCCAGTTTTTCTTAGATCCTGGTGCATCTCACAAGAAGTAAGGAATGTTTTAAAAAAAGGTATTGCCTTTTTATAGTGGATATCTGCTGGGGCTCCAGCTTGGCTTCACAATCACAGAATCCTGCTTATTATAAATAGTTTCACCTTTGCACAAGGACATTAGCACCTGTGGAATAGGAAGAAAGGCCTGGAGTCAAACGCAGACGAAAAATGTGATTGAGGAGATTGAGGAAAAGATTTGATAGGAGACTAGTTGGTAGGTTTTCATTCTATACTTTTATATGGGATATAGTTTTTTTTTAAAAGAATATTATACAGGAGTTAGAACTCAAACTGAAACTAAGGGTGGGCAAAGTTGGTGGTTGCCAGTGTATGGAAACAGGAGAAGAGAAAGACTTAGTATTTCAATACTTCAATAATGTGTGTGTGTGTGTGTGTGTGTGTGTGTGTGTGTGTGTGTGTGGTTTTTTTAGTCAGTGCAGTATTCCTTTCACTAATCAGTCAACAAATATCTATTAAATAAAAGGCACTATACCAAAAACTATAGATAAAAAGACAAAAATGAAACATATCTTGCCCCCAATTCCTAAAGGGAAAGCTCCCATGCTCTACTGGGGAAGACACTTACATATACATGTAAGAATATACAAAATATGTCCAAAGGTAACATACATTACAGTTTCCTGGTACCCTTATAGATGGTCTTTATGAGTTACTAAGTCCAAAAATAATTTATCCCCTCATGGTTGAACTTTTGATGATGAGACAACCTACAGAGGTACCTGAACCTGGGATGACACATACCCAGTCCCTTTATCTGGCCCATACACGAAGCTTTCCCAGCTTGATAGAACCCGTCATAACTTCTACTTCATAGATAAAAAGCCTTTGAGATTCCAGAGTCACCAAGATAAATTCCAAATGGATACATGATTCAGACCTAAAAAGTGACATTAGAGGATCAAGGAGGAAATAAGCTTTTAGACCTATGGAGAAGAGAAGAGTTCATGACTAAGTAAGTGACTGATAGGATCATAGAAGATTAAATGAACAATTTTGTTTATATGAAATTGAAGATTTTTTTTTCATAAACAAACTGAATGTAGTTTACATGAGAAGGAAAAAGGCAACTGGGAAAAATGTTTATAGCAAGTTTCTCTGACAATAGTCTCATATCCAAATTACATAAAGAATTGCTTAGAATTTATAAGAATTCAAACCATTCTTCAATGGACAAATGGTCAGAGAATATGAACAGGTAATTTTAAAAGAATGAATTCCAAAATTCCTTTATCTGATAATAATCTTTTATCATTCTATATTTTCCTATGCCTTTAGATACCAAACACTGTTCTTCATCCTCACTGGGATGTCTATCCCTCAATACTTTCCCAAACTGTCAACAACCATATGAAAAAATGCTCCCAATAATTACTAGAGAAACACAAATTAAAGCAACTCTTAGGTTTCACCTCACACTTATCAGATTGGCAAAAATGACAAAAGAAGAAAATGACAGAAGTTAAAGAAGCTGGAGGAAAGTAGGTATGCTGATGCACTGTTGATGAATTGGTCCAGCTATTCTGGAAAACAATTTAGACATGTCCCAAAAGTTAAAAAAAATTGTGTATATTCTTTGACCCAGTGATACTGCTACTCCTACTCAAAGAGATCAAAGGACATAGTTATACAAAAGTATTTATGGCAGGTCTTTTTGTGGTAGTCCCAAACTGGAAACTAAAGGTGTACCCACTTATTGGGAAATAGTGGAATATTTTTGTGTCGTGAGAAATGATGAAATGAACAGTTTCTGAGGAAACTGGGAAGAACTCTATCAACAAATGCAAAATGAAATAAGTAGAACAAGGAGAATAAATTATACAATGACAACAATATCATAAAGAAAAATTACTTCAAAAGACTTTAGAACTCTAATAAATGTAATGACAAACTATGCGTTCAGAGGACTGAAAAGGAAACATTGCATTGACCTCCTGACTGGAAAGTGATGGACTTAAAATAAAGAATGAAACATATGTTTTTGGACATGGTCAATGTGGAAATTTGTTTTACTGGACTATACCTACTTGTTATGAGGGTTTTCTTTTATTATATTGTTAAATTAGGGAGGTAGTGAGAGGGAGAGATATTAAATGCTTGTATAGACAAGTGAATGATTGAATACATTTTTAAAAGAACCCAGGATCGCAAGCAAAGTCTTCTCTGATCTTTCCAGTTGTTAGTGATCTTTCCACCTCAACTGATCTTATGTTGACCTATCTGTGTACATCTTGTATCCTCCCAGTTGACCACAGACTCCTTGAGGTCAGGAAATTCTTATCATTTTTATCATTGCATCCCTACGACCCAATACAGTGCCTTGCATGTCTTAGATATGGAATGTTCCATGCTTCTGTGAACTTTGGGGCTAGGTGTTGAACAATATCAGACTTAATTAGTGGGGAGGAAAAGTCCCTTACCTGGCCCACTGCAGAATGAGGCAATTATGCTCAGGATACAGATAATGCTCAGGTAAGGGATCCAGGGAGCCTTGTCCTGAAAAGAAACATCGACAACTTTATCCAAGGAGGAACCAATGAGATGAAACAAATGAGCCTGTTTCTTTTCCTACCATCCTGCCAAGATTTTGAATTAGGTTGTGTCTATGTGATGCCAAGTTATTGATTTAATGGAAAACTTAAAGCATGAAAAACAGTGAAAAGACAGATTAGTCAAACTGGTTGGCCATCTTGTGGACATGGCATTTTAGATTTTCATTTTTCAACTTAAAAAACATGGTGAAGACTGTCTCCACTCCAAAATTCTCAAAACCTTTCGTTAAGCTCCTTTGATTAGGTACTTATTATTATTTGGAAATCATCATTTTCAAAATGTCATTTTGCTGCTGGTACAAATCTTGCTCATTCCCCAAGTTCAGCTTATCTTATGCTAGAGTAAGCTTTCTCTGCCCCCACTCCAACCCCAGTTCACTTGATCTCCCTCTTCTCTGAATTTTTACTGAATTCAGTTTAATATTTTGCAAGGTCAAAGCCTTCCACCACTAGGCTCCACCCTACCTTTCTAGTAATCACTTATACTCCTTCCCAACACTGTATACTTCAGCCAAACTAGACTTCACTCTACCAAACATTCTATGTGCCCTCCTGTCTACATACCCCATGTGTATGCTTTTCCCTATATCTCCCTCTGTCTGATTTACTTGGTGAATCCTCACTCATCTTTTAAAAGCTAACTCAACCTTCTCCATAAAGCTTTTTGGTTGGAAACAATCTTCCTCCCTCAGACCTCACATAACATTTTGTCATGCACTTGTCTGATGAACAAATCATGTGTTATTGTGTAATATGGTTATCTATGATTGTATCTTTATGTCCTTATTAGACTATAAGTTCCATGAGGGCTGGGGCTATATCTTATTATCTTGGTTTCTCCCCCACTGCATAGTACAGTGTTCTGAAGACTGTAAACCCTTAATAAATATCTTGAATTATTGAATTAAATGTCTTTTTCTCCTTGCTAGATTGTAAACTCTCTGACCAGAGAGATGACCCTTTACATTTCTGCTTTCCTCATAATGAAGGAGTTAATTCAGATATGGGGACACAACAAGATTGGGTTTCTCTTGTACCAACCACCTCTCTCTTCCACTTCAGGTTGTACTAGAGGAGTTAGAATATTCCTTGCTTCCCATTCCAGATTCTCCCTCTATCACTATTCTTTTGAAGTTTGTGCTTATATATATTTACTTCCAAGTCAATTCCTGGTGGGATATCAGTGCCTGACCATCTCTATAACCTGACTTCTGCCACCATACTGGGGGACTTCAACATAGAAACTGATATTTTCTCAAATATTCTGATTTCCCAGCTCTTCAATTTGCTGAATTTCCTTGACCAATTCCTTCACTCCACCTCAGTTACATACAGAGATGGTCATATGTTTGTTCTTGCTGTCACCCACAAATGTTCTACTCCCATGTCAATGAACTCCAAAATTCCGTTATCTGATAATAATATTTTATCATTCCATATTTTCCTATGCCTTTAGATCCTAAACACTGTTCTTCCTCCTCACGGGGACTTCCACCCCTCAATACTGTCCTAAGGGCCAGCCTCTATTCTCTTACTAGTTTCAACCAGCCTCTTAGACAATTGATTCTATTCTCTTTCCCCAATTCACTTGACTCCTTGTCATGCAATGCTAAATCTCAATCCTGGATTACTTCTGTCATCCATCTTCTCTGTTCCTATTCACATGTTGCCCAACAGAGTTAGAGTCACAAAACCATGCTGATTGGGTACATTAAAAATTTATGTTATCTAGTCTCCTCTGGAAACTCATGGCATAAAGGAAATCCTTCTGCTCCTTTCTAATTGATTCTCTATGCCACACATCACAATGTCTGTTTGGAACATTTTCATCATTCCTCAAGCCTTTCACAGGATCCCTTCCCCATTTCTTTTAACTGGGAACCTCATACTTCACTGAAAAAAACTAGGGCCATTTGCTGAGAACACTCTCTTCTCCCTTTTTCCTCATCTCACATCCCTCTGACATCATACTCCAGTCTCTGATGAAGCCTCATACATGCTTGATAACGTTCCTTTCTATCTTCTTCAGAAGATTGCTTTTTCTTTTATCCTCATTCTCTCTCTAATCTTGTCTACAAACACCCTCACGTTTTCCATATTCTTAAAAAGCTCTCATCTCGTCCTACCATCTCCACTGGCTATGGTTCTATATCTCTCTTTCATTTCTCTACTAAACTTGAAAAAGTCGTCGATAAGCAACACTTCCACTTCCACTTTTCTAAAGCCATTATAATCTGGCTTCTAACCTCATAATTCAATTGAAAATGTTCTCTCTAAAGTTGCCAATTCCGGGGGCAGCTAGGTGGGGCAATGGATAGAGCTCTGGCCTTGAAGTCAGAAGGAAATGAGTTCAAATCCAGTCTCAGACACATGACACTTACTAGCTGTGTGACCCTGGGCATGTTACTTAACCCTGAGTGCCTCACCAAAAAAAAAAAAAAGAAAAAAAGAAAGAAAAAAAAGAAAAAAAAAGATCAAGTTGCCAATTCCAAATCTAATAGCCTTTTTTCAGTCCTCATCCTTCTTGACCTCTAAGCAGCACTTGAGGGAGTTGATCATCTCCTCCTAATGAAAACTCTCTTCCTCTCTGTGTTTTGATGGCACTGTTCTCTCTTTGTTCTCCTATTCATTTAACTAATCTTTCTCAATCTGCTTTGCTGGACCTTCAGCCTTGTCAAGCTCCCCACCAATGGTTGTCCCTCAAGGCTCTGTCCAAGGTTCTCTTTTCATTTCTCTATGCAGCCTCCCTTGGTGCTCTCACCAGCTCCCACAGGTTCAATGATCTTTATACAAATAAGGATTCCCAGATGTATATACCCAGCCCATCTTCATTCTCGAGCTTTTGCACTGGCCTTTCCCCATCTTTCGAATATTCTCTCTCCTCAACATCAACTCTTGAGAGAATTGGCTTCTTTCATGACACAGCTCAACTGTTACCTTCTGCAGGATGCTTTCCAAACCCCCTAAACATTTGAACTTTCTTTTCTAGGCTTCCTTCTACTCTGATATGTAACTTTTAATTTCTATGTTTGTTTTCCTATTAGTGTGCAAGCTCTTTGAGGACAGGAACTGTTTTTGATTTTCTTTGTATCCTCATCACGTCGCACAGTGCCTAGCACGTACAAAACACTTACTCCTTGCTTTCTGATTAATTGATTGAATGATGTGCTGAATTGGCCTTGGGCCCTGTAAAAGTTATTGACAGTCAGAGATCTTCACTCTATTCTTTCAAGCAAGTCAAATGAGTCAGAAGAAAGAATGATGGAGCTAGACTCAGAGAACCTAGTTTAAAATCCCAGCTCTATCACTTGGACAAGTGACCTGAGCAAGCCACTGACCTTTCTGAGCCTCAGTTTCCTAATCTATAAAAAAAGGGTGGGATTAAATGATCATGGAGGTTCTTTTCAATTCTAATTCCTATGGTCCTATGATTTTACCTGGATTTAAGGATCAGGGATATGGGGAAAAGATTTAGGCTAATTCCTTACACTGAAATACGGCAACAACAACAAAATTTTCCCTCCTTTCACTGAAGCCTTATTAGGAAATGAAGTCTGAAAAAGCTAGAGTTGGACCCTGGTGGTGAGAGCAGTTTTGCAAACAATCATATGATGCTATAGAGGAAAGAGCATTTGATTTGGAGCTAGGAGATGTGGATTCTAAGCTCATATTGGCTATCTATTAGCTGAATGATCTTAGAAAAGTCTCTTGGACAACAGTGAATTTAGCCTTTCTGGGCCTTGCTTTCCTCATCCACAAAATATGAATGTTGAACTAGATATGTCTGAGGTTCTGCACAATCCAAAATTCTATGGGAATCTTTGAATTAGAAGTAGCCCTGAACTTACAGTCAGTATGAATTTTGACTTGCCGACTTAATAATTACATGACCTTGGAAAGGTCATTCATTTCCATCTCTTTCTTCATCTGCAAAGCACTATATAAATAAAAGCTATTATTGACATACAATAATGATTATGGTTGTACCAGGTTTGGACACCCACATGAATCACTTTAGCCTTTTGAAACTCTCATTTTTCAAAGAACTGATTACATGCATCAGTAAAACAAAGTCCCAAGAGATCTTCATTTCTTATTGATTCTAACTTCCCATCTCAAATCCTCTGGGTCACAGCCCCAGGAAAATGAAAATTAACAAAGTTGACCTCAAATCAAACTGCGCTTGACGATAACCTTTTATGTCTAATATAATCAGATGGTAAATCTGACACATCACATTACTAACAAGTAGTAGATTTTTTTCCTCATGCATCACTGTATTTTTAACTATATAATCACACTGCTTCATAGCTTCCTTTCATCAAATGGCAATATTATCTTTTTTTTAATCAGACACTGCTGCATTATTATTGCCTTTTCCTGAAAACATCAAGCACCTGAGGGACATTCAATAAATGAGAAATAACCATGACTTTCATTTTAGGGATCTCTAGCTCAGTTACTAAAATCATTTGTTGACTTATAGTGATTCTGTCATGTATTTCTCTTTTACCCTATGGTGCCCGGAAAGGAGCAGAACACACAGTAGATGATCCAAAAATACCTTTGGTTCCATTTAATTCCATAAGCATTTATTAAGAATCTACCAAGTTTGAGGCATTGCACTAGGTTCTGAGCATGCAAAAACAAAATGGAAAACAATACTGGATCTCAGTAATAAAAAAGCAATGTATGAGTCATTTTTAAGATCCATCTTTGAGCCACACAGCAAGCTCATAAGGTAGGTGCCATGGATATTAGCATCCCTATCTTGAACATAAGAGAAGTTAAGTGATTTGCTAGGTGCACAGGTAGTAAATGTTAAAGGCCAGTTTTGAACTCCCAAACCAACACTCTCATCTACTACCACAAACTGCTGGAGCTTACATTTTACTGGAGAATCGTGGGGGACCATTTAAAAATTAATTGAATCGAAATAAGCAA